CTGGCTGCTTCGACAACACTCATAACCTTTCCGACAGCGTCCAACGTGGATCGACCCTTCCTGAAGCCGAATTGCCGCTCGTTCAGATCATCATTCCCTTCGAGGTGTTTCTCCATTGGCCTTTTTATGATTCTCTCAAACAATTTTTCCACGGTGTTGAGTAGACATATAGGCCTGTAGGAAGACGGGTTTTCCAGTGGCTTGTCCCCTTTTCTTAGTAAAACCAATTTCGCCACTTTCCATTTGGGTGGGAAAACGCCTTCTGTCAGACAACMATTAAACACATCCCTCAACATCTCCGGTTTCCTAGCAGCTAGTGYCTTGATCACCATGTCTGGCACCCCGTCCGGGCCAGGGGCTTTTCCGAGGGGAATCGTCTGGCTCAATTCCCTAACCTCGTCAGTCGTGACTTCGGGAAAAACGTGTTGTTCCTCCCATGGTGGCCATTCACTTATATCGTCTTTGGGGAARAGTCCGTCGAYGATGGAGTCCACCTTTCCTGGTACACTGAGCCCTGGGATCGGCCTTCTACCAACCAGTTTTTTTGTCACCAACTTGTATGGTAAACCCCATGGKTCAGTCTCTAYCTGRTCGCATAGGCTTCTCCAGCTCGCCTCTTTSCTTCGTCGAATCGCTATCTTCAACGCCTTTCTTGCCGCTTTGAACGTCTGGTGTACTTGCTCCTGTGTCATGTTTCCTCGGTTGCGACTTCTCTTGTACTTACGTCTTGCCTTGTTGCACTCATCCCGGAGTTCGGCAATCTCGTTGGTCCAMCAATGTGTCGGTTTTTTCCCACCTCTGTAGCTTCCCCTAGGCATGCAGCTGTCACATGCGCCCTTAAGGTACTCGTCCAGCTCTACGGTGGTTTGTAGCGCATCCGTCCTAGTTTCGAAAGGGGTTKACTTGATGTAATCGACCAGCTTCGAYCTCTCGTACTTCCTCCACGACCATCTTACTTCCGCTTGCCTCCGTTCTGTACGCGTTGTCGATGTGACAGTGAACGCTATGTACCTGTGAAGTGAAGCAGTGTATTGATCAAGTACTTRCCAATCGCGCACTGTATCACTGCTCTTTCCAGATACAAAGGTTATGTCGATATGTGACCTGGATATACCACCGGCATATAGCCTGAAGAAGGTTGGTCTGTCTCCATTGTTGCACACGGCGAGTCCCAGGCTAGCTGCCATATCACCTAGGGCGCGCCCTTTCGGTTCCTCAGTGTGGTCTCCCCAAGCCGGTGACTTGGCATTGAAGTCCCCAGCGACTATCACTGTACCCTCTTGTTGCCTGATACTACCCTCGAGTCTATCCAAAAAATCCAMAAATAAGGTGTAGACCGTATTTGGGGACCAGTAGCAGGCGTACACCGTGAGATCCTCCACTTTCACCCATCTAAATCCTCGATTGTCTTTAGGACCAATTTTTTGTATTTGTAGGCCTGGGTTGTGTATTACGATGGYTGCCTTCGCTTCGATRTCGCTAAACCATCCTTCGGCCTCTAGGCCACAGCGGTAAGGTTCGCTGAGGACTAGTATGTCGATGCCCATGTCAGATGCGGTTGCCAGTGCCAGGTCCTGGGCCGCTCTGCATACACCCACATTGATTTGCAGTACTCGGATCATTTTACTTGGACAGACCTCTCGGCTACCCGGAACCTTAAAGCCTTTTCTGTCCCTCCGTTATCTAGTTGAGTGGTAAACTCCTTCGCGACTTCGGTTGTAGCCTCGCATTTTGCCGCTCGGTGGCCTGTAATWCCGCAGCGCCTGCAGCATTTGCTTCTATCAGGTCCTTTACATTGGCTGGCCAAGTAGCCGCGCGAGAGACACCTGAAGCACCTGCCCATACCTCGGTCCTCCCAGAGGCGTGCTCGGCAGTTGACATACCAGTAAGTCTCCATCTTTAGTCTTTGTAAGACCGACTATGCCGTCCGAAACTGCCTTAACCTGTTCATTTAATTTTAGTTTTTTAAGCACCTCTAAGTACGAACCGTCATAAGTGCGCACTATAATAGCAGGTGGTTTTTTCATCGAGGTCCTGGCGATATCCTTCTTCTTTGGTTGCGTCCTTCCTTCATCCACATTAACGTCATCTTTCTGTTCCATCCTGTGCTTCTTCGCTTGAGGCTTTCACCTCACGACCTCTGTCCAAGCTGGATCCCGAGCCACGCCATTTACAGTGGGTTGTGTATTTTGTATTTCTGTTGGTGGTTCAGTACCCCACCAGCACGGGGTGTCAGTCCCTACATCCGAAGTTGAAATACAACGGGTTGGATATGACTGAGTTTCCATATCTGAATCTCCTCAACCGTCTTGCCCTAGCCTAACCTCCTCGTTTGTCGGGGTTTGTATGACAACATTGTCCTTGCTCTTGTCCTTGTCCTGGACTTTTTCCACTTGGTCCTGGTTTTTTACTTTTATATATTGGGATATGAGCATGTTAGTTTTTGAAAGAGTGTCTTTAAGCTCCTTATGGACATTGCGTGTTTTACTTGCGAAGGTATTCATGCCAGTTACGTAGCGCTGTATCATATTCAACAACTCGGACTCCCCGAGAGTAGCGATGTTGATAGTTCTTGATTTCACTGAATTAATACCATCCTCATTTGCAGAGGCCGATTTGTTCGCGGCGTCTCCGTTCTCTCCTATGTCCTTGTCTCCGATCAGTCCTGGTTTCCGTTGCGTGCACATCGACACGACTGTCTCAGCAGTAGTCTTACCAGTGGAGAGAGCCGTGCTGGACACCCTCTCAACTGGGATCTGGCTTGCTGATGACGACCCTTGGGGCGAGCCACCCCCAACTGCCGGCCCTGGGGTTTCCGAGGCCCCTGGCGCTGTAACGTTATCACTGTTTATTGCATTCATCATAAAGTTTGAGGTTGGCTTGGCCAACACCACCGACGCCAGCCTCGCGTTGGTTGTCCTTTTTACCGTCCGTTTGCCTGATCTTCCGGGACATCGGGGGTTGATCGCTCCCCCGATGGTGAGCTTGTCCGCGACCGCTTATTCGTCCAATCCCGAAGGGTATGGCTTATTTCGCGGCTACCCTGCATATCTGCAGGACTTTCCCCTATCCGCAACTTGGGGACGCGCCCGATGGAATGCTCATGCTTCCCGGGAACCTAACTTAACCTAACCTAACCATAAATGACGTATTTATAATGTTTAATTTTATGCATGGCCTGATAGTAGACATATAAATATAAATATGTTTTAACTAAGAACTCTATTTCAAATTAAGTTCAAATGATTTTTCTACCCTAATTATTATTTTTCAAATTTTATATTCTACCGAAAATCTCGAATGTTCATTGCAAACATTTCAAATAACACACTTGATTTTCCACTTTAATCGTAAAATTTGTTGAATATTTTATAAACATAAAATATATTATACACTTATTAATTATTATCTGATAATATCTGTCTATTATAGCAAATAGTAAGATGATTTAATTTTTTAAATAATAATTTAATTTTACACGAATTATAATTTGTATCTAAATTATGTTTATAGTTTAATCTTATGTTTATATTATATTCAACTTAATTTCAATAAGTAGTGTAAAAATGTTGTATAAAAAATAAAGCCGTTAGTTATAATCTATTATAATTAAATATTAAACTTTGTTCGCACTAGGGGCTCCTGGCACTGCAGTTGGCACCTAGCACTCGCACACTCAGGACTCGATACAAGTGGATAATATATATATATATATACCAATCTTTAATACAATTGTTACAATGTGCACAATATATTAGCTGAGGTGATCAGCCTCAGACTAATAACCATTAATAATAAAATGTTTACAAAGGGTGAGAATATATTAAGTACTCTGTCCCATACCAGATTACCTATAACGCAAGAAACGACAAGAAGGAAGGAAACGGCTGTTCAGTACAAGTAGTACAACGGGAACCTGGAACGCTGAACTGCTGACTTGAGTTATAGCCTTAACCACGTGGTTTGGGTCCGAACTGGACAGAAGAACCGGATGATAGTAGCTTCACCTTGTGTTGCTGCGAACTGCAAGCGATAGACTGCGACCTGCAGGAACCAACCGAATATTGTCAAAGAACGAATGACAAAGATTAACGTTGTAACCGATCGGCGTTAGACGCAGACAAACATAAAACGCCGTACTCGTCATAGAGCCATAGTGTTGCGACTTGCAAAACTAAGATGTTGCGAACGGCAATAACACAATACTAATGAAACCAATATATCAGCATTTTTAACAGCATGGCTAGCCGCACACACACACACGTAAAAATTGATAATAACATCGCGACCGTTGCGAGCTGCATGTATACGACCGGGGCGAAGAGGAGCGTCTCTTGATCAGTGTTGCCAATCTGGGGTAGTGGGACTGGGCAACCGCGAGCGCGCTGACGAAGTCTGAACATACTCCCCCCTTGGGATACGCAGCGTGTATCACAATATGATCTTCGAACTGATGGTCATGAGGTTGGAACTTGCGAACTGCTGGAACTGGAGCTTTAATCGAACTGATTGTTGGTGAGAGCTGATACTGGAACCTTGACTGTACTGAGGCTGTATTTGAGCTGGAACTATTCGAGCGATGATAGAGCTTATCTGGAGCGGCGGGGAAAAATACATTATTTTTTTTTTTTACAATTGAACAGCTGTCCAAACCTTTACATAAACTAGACTGAATATCATAAAATACATAATGCATAATAAAATACAACTTAACAAAAACAAAACAAACAAAATAACTACATGTTGTCCTGATCCATGGATGACAAGCTGAGTGCCAACCAAAGTTCAGAGAATCCTAACACGACCTTATATAACTATCATACAAGATAAAAACTAAATATTAAATATACTGAACACTAGGTATTCTGAGAAAATCTAATATGCTATTAATGAGCTATCATAACATTAAGTAAATAAACATTAGGTAATAATAAAAAAACTTGATAAATGACCATCATAGCACTAACATATAAATATTAAAACAATTTAAAAAATTAAAATTACTGAGTAGGGAGCGGAACTAATTTTACTACAGGTCTTGTAGTAATACCTTGCTTGGTAAGCAGTTTAACAACTCTCACGATCCCATCTGGACCGGGTAAAAGTTCCTGGACTCGACCTAGTCTCCAAACTAACGGCGAGGAACAATTCTCCCTAATTATTACCAACTCGCCAAGTTTTATATTTTCTTCACCTACTAACCACCGCCCTTTGGTCTGTAGAGTATGTAAATACTCATTAGACCAACGGCGCCAAAATGCTTGAAAAACCTGATGGAGGAGCTTCCAACGGTTTCTCAAACTTACCGAACTGGTAGGAACTTCCACTTCTGGAACTGCGCATAAAGGACGACTGATAATAAAATGGCCAGGCAACAGACACTCTAGATCATTGGGATCGTTGGACGACGGCGTGAGTGGCCTGGAGTTTAGAACTGACTCGATTCTACACAGAACTGTTGTAAATTCCTCATAGGATAATACCTGGTTACCAACCACTCGCACCAACAAGAGCTTTGTGGAGCGAACAGCGGCTTCCCAAAGTCCACCGAAATGGGGCGCACTCGGCGGGTTGAAATGCCACGAGCACGCTACAGCAGAACTGAGCTGTTCGCTATTTTTCGTATCATTTACTAGATCGAATAGTTTTTCCGACGCACCAACAAAATTAGTGCCGCAGTCGGAATACACTGCCGCTGTCATACCTCGTCGAGTCACGAAGCGGTCGAACGCTGCCAGAAAGGCATCTGTTGTCAAATCGGTCACAAGTTCAAGGTGAACTGCCTTGACACTCATACACACAAACACAGCAATATAGACCTTATATTGCCGTGACTTCCTCAGACTCGTTTCCTTTATGAGCTGAGGACCAGCATAATCAATCCCAACGCAAGAAAAGGGATGACGTTGCTGCACCCTAACGCCAGGCAGATCGGCCACGATGGGATGAATGTTTCGAACAGAAAACCTAACGCAAACCGTGCATTCACTAATCGCACGACGAATGACATACCGATCACCAACAATACAATATTGTCGACATATCAGAGCCGACATGAGGCGAGGACCAGCATGACAAGCGAATTGATGCCAATGCCGAGCGATGAGTGACGACAGATGAGATGACTTAGATAACAGAACGGAATGCTTACGTCGATCTGACAATAATGAATGTCGAAGCCGACCACCTACTCGAATGACGCCCTGTCTATCAAGGAACGGAGATAAACGCGCTAAAGGGCGAGAAGAAACAACTCCACCAGAAGAGAGCTCTTGGAGCAGAGATTTCAAGAATAGGGTTTGAGAACATTTTATGACCACCAATAGAGCATCACTATAGTCTTTATACGAGAACACATTCTTATCAACTGGAATTTTGCGACACAATTTAACTAGACGTTGTAATTGTATAATGATTCTCAACATGCGATTCAACGAGGAAAAGTGTGAGAACCACTCAACGGCCTCTTCCCTTGATTCTATCACATAAGACACGGGTCCTGTGACCTCAGGTAACTGGTCCAACGGAATTAGATCCACACTTGATGACCAACTTTCACCGAACTAGCGTAGGAAGGCGGGCCCTTTCCAATAAAGATCATGCCGAGCTAATTCACCAGGACGCAATCCTCTAGAGGCACAATCTGCCGAGTTCATATTCGTATCGACATTAAACCAACGAGCTGACGGTAATAACTCCAAAATTTTACTCACGCGATTCGATACGAAAATTTTATAAGGCTGATGGGGTATGTTTAACCACGAAAACACCACCGACGAATCTTACCAAGCGTAAACATAGACAAACAACAACCTTAAACTACGTGTTTATAATCTTTAATTCTATGCATGGCCCGATAGTGGACATATAAGTATGAATAATATGTTATAACTAAGAACTTTATTTCAAATTAAGTTCAAATGATTTTCCTACACTAATTATTATGTTTTGAAATGTATATTCTACTGAAAAACTTGAATATGCATTGCATATATTCCAAATAAATCACTTGATTTTCCACTTTAATAATAACATTTGATAAATATATTATAATTATAAAATATATTATACACTTATTAATCATTATCGGGTATTCTCTGTCTATTATAGTAGATAGTAAGTCGATTTAATTTGAAATAATTATTTAATTTCACACGATTTGTAATATGCGTTCTAAATATATTTAAAGTTTAGTTTTATATTAACATTATATTCAACATGATATAAATAAGAAGTGTGATTTTATTTTTTTAATTATCTGCATTCAATTTTCTGAGGTTTAAAAAATAACTCTCTGTTATAATCTATTATAATTAAATATTTCGTGGCTTGGTGAGGCTCGGTCGTACGCTCAATCTGTGGAAACGCACTGAGTGTACGTACCTACTGGCCGAAGTTGCAAGCTCCCGGATGGGTGACTTCCCGGTATTTTTAGCAACATATCCTTGCCACACATACACAAACACGTGTTACAACCCTACCACTTACTGTTACCCACTTAAAAAACCTACAAACTCAATACACAAAATAAACCCCTACACCTCACACCCAATGGCCTATGTATAACTAATGACCTTAGTCACCTGGCTTTATATCAATAAAAAAAAATTAAACATTAACCCTAAAATACGTGTTTATATCGTTTAATTCTATGCATGGCCTGATAGTAGACATATCGACTGGTATATAAAAATAAAGAGGCCAGGCGACATTTTTACAACTTTTCAGGAGTGCAAAAACAAAATTATCATGTGTGGTCAACTTTAGAATTGGGGCTTTGGTGTTTAATTAAGCTCCAGGATTAAGGTTATTGTATATTTTGATTTGATTTTATGCTATTTTGATGGCTTGATACTAGTTATACTGAAATGTCTCGTTAATTTTTAAACACAATTAATTTTAATAAAACATACAATTTTTTAGCTCTTAGCTCCGATTTTTTTGCTTTTTCATATGTGATGAACGGCACTTGTACCCTTATTTATCAATAATGATATTAGTAGTTTGAATAATTACCTACTTTTTTTTCATATCTGCGATGTAGTTTTTTCTCATAATTTTATAAATGTTATTATTAGATATAAAAAATTGTAATAGAACACGTCTTAATTGGAAAAAAATATTTAAAATGTTGAGTAACAAATAATTAATAATAAGATAAATGTATAATAGAAACTAAAATTAATAAAATAAATACTTATAAAGTAAAATTGCAACTTTACTTTGCTTAAATCCAAATTTTAAGAGATAATTTTAAATTTAGATTACAGAAATTATTAACATAGTTATTGTTAACAAACATTTTTAATTTTCAGAATAATTTGCCTTTTATTATGATAATAGAAAAGCCCAAAATATGAATGATGATGAAATTCTGATAAATATTGAATTAAAATATCTGTCTTTTTTTAGATTCTGAACGAAGTGATGAATGTATTGATTTTACAATGATGTGTGTTTTTTTTAATGTTTTTTTTGTATTTGTTTACAGCATAACTAGTCGAAATAATGCTTCAATTTCAAACTTTTGGGGTGGTTTCCGATGTAAAAGTGATTGTCCTTGGTGCATTAAACATTTTCCAACAGTTTTCAAAAAAATCGAGAAAAACAAAAAAAAAAAATGACAGAAAAACGGGAATTTTTACGCAAAACCAGTTTTCGACCAAATCGATATATTTATATGGTTGTAATTCAAAAACTAATCACTGTAAATACTTGAAATTTTCACCAACTGTTAATGTTAGTGATATCTATATACAGTTTAATTTTCAAAAATTTTCGACTTTTTTTGAGAATTTTTTTTTTGAAGTGTCGGTAAAAAAATGTTGGACAACCAGAAAAACATGAAAATTTAATACAAGGTTCCTTATGAGTTGTTCTTATTGTAGCTAAAAAAAATTAAAAGTCGTTATTCGTTAGTCACAATTTTTTTTATAAGCATTTATAGTTCAAATTTTTACGAAATCTGTCGAAAACGCGAAAATTTGCAAGTAATTTTGAAGTTGAAAAATCATAAAAATTTTTGTGTTTATAACTAAGAATTAAAATTACAACACTAAGTTTTCAATAAGTTTTCCTTAAAATAGCTATAGATAAAACTCGAAGCTTCATTATAGGAAAAAATTTAAGTGTTTGAATTTAAAATTTTTTCGAAATGCCGTAACGATATTTTGACTTTTTTTGAGTTATTTATAGACAACTGAAATTTTCAATTTTTCAGAAATTTTTTTTTGATGTGTCGATAAAAATTTTTTGGCCCTATCAATATACTTGAAAATTCAATACAGAGTTTGTCATAAGTTAGTCTTATAGTGATTAAAAAATTATAAGAATACATAGGCACAATTTTTTTTATAAGCGTTATAGTTCAAATTTTTACGAAATCTGTCAAAAATGCGATAATTTGCAAGTAATTTTTTAGTTGAAAAATCATAAAATTGTTTGTGTTTATAACTAAGGATTAAAAATACAACACTAAGTTTTCCTTCAAATAGCTATAGAGAAAACTCGAAGCATCATTATAGGAAAAATTTTAAGTGCGTTTGAATTTYAAATTTTTACGAAATAGCGTAACGATAACGATTTATCCTCAAACGATTTTAAATATTTGTTATTATTCAAAAAGTATAAGTCGTAGATACTTGAAAATTTTATCAGTTATTTATATTGGCATTTTCATTACGTGATTTAGTTTTCAAAATATTTTGATTTTTTTTGAGATATTTATAAACAACTGAAATTTTCAATTTTTCTGAAATGGCCCTATCAAAATACTTGAAAATTTAATACATAGTTCCTCATAAGTTATTCTTATAGTGAATAAAAAATTATAAGAATCCATAGGCACAATTTTTTTTTTATAAGCATTTGAAGTTCAAATATTGACAAAAATTCGTCAAAACCATGAATATTTTTGTTGTGTTTGTCATTACGTTATGGGGCAGTAAAAATGCTTCGACTTTTAACTTCAGTGCCTTGTTAAATCAGAAAGCGAATCTAGTTGATTTTTTAGGAGATCAAAAGTAAAAAATTCTTAATATATTTTTAAATAACCGGGATATACAAACTAAAAATTAACGGAAAAACAGGAAATTTTACGTACAATCAGTTTTCGATTTTGATTTTTGATGTTACTTTAAAACGAATGACCATTGATACATGAAAATTTCACCGAATGTTAATAAAATTGCAATTAACATATTATTACAATAGCAGTTGAAAAATAAAAGAAATTCATAGTTACAATTTCTATTTATAAGCATTCAAAGTTTGAATTTTGACAAAATTCGTAAAAATCCCAAAAAATCTCAAATTATTTTAAGCTAGAAATTAATAAAAAAATTTCTTTTTTAAACTAAGATTTAAAAATTTAATATAAGATTCCTTACAAGTTTTTCAATCTTTATCACAAAAAAATGTCCTCCGGAAATGCAAATTAAATTTTTATAAGCATTTTAATTTCAAATATTGACAAAAATTCGTTAAAGCCATTAATATTTGCGAATTATTTTGTAGNCAAATCGGTTCAGTAGTTTTCTCGGTTAGCGCGGTCTAAGAAAACCCCTTACAATTTTATATAATAGTATAGATTTTTAATATCTATACGTATTATTCGATAAGTATATAGATAATATTTATCCAAAGTGTGCCGTGACTTATAATAACTAATAATAATGTGCCGCGATGGGAAAAAGTTTGGGAAMCGCTGCTCTAGACTCTCCGAGCTCGGGGGCATTAGGGCGAAACGGAAGAGGAACACAAAACCGACCACACGGAGTACGGTAGGTGGTTGTCACAAATATTTGTTCGCAAAGCTGAACCTAACCTAACCAACGAGAGTGAATCTAGTGCCTTTGAATCGAGGTGAAATAGAATGAAACCGACGAGGTCATTGACACTGAGTTCCGTTATGGCGGCAATATTTTCCCGAAAAACGTTGACAAACGCTTTCAATGCAGATAATGATTCTTGCACTATTGGTTTAAAAGTAAACAGTTTATCGACGTGAGCGGTAGCTAAAAGTCGTTGATTATTGAAACGATTTAATAACGCTCCCCACGCTAATTTGTAATTTGACGTCGATAACGGAAACGTTTTAACTATGGTAAGTGCCGATCCCGTAACGCATATTAAAAGATACTGGAACCGTCAAATATCACTTATATCCGGGTTCTCATGAATGGCAGACAAAAATGTGTCTCGAAAAAGAGTCCAAGACAAAATATTGCCGTTAAATTTGGGCAACTTATTTTTTGGTAACGCACTTAGCGTTGGTGCGGCTATCGAAGTCGATTGAGAATCTTTTTTTGATAAACGAGATATGACCCTAGATATTGTAGCGTCCCAGCATACAGGAGGACGAATGACTTGTGTTGAGGTAGATGGATTGAGTGAAATAAGTATAACAACTTGATTTGTGATTAATTATTATATATTTATTTGATTGTGATGTAAATAAAACACTATTATTGAACAAGAATTATTTGATTGAAAAATATTCCAAGTCCAAATGATTGATTTAGAATGTTGACTGGCGTGAAGGTGCTTGCACTGACTGTGGTGGCTAACGTCTGATTTGGGTCTAATCGGGGCTCTCCTATATAGTCCTACTCTCTGCGTTTCCTTTCCTATCGATAAGATAAGTATGTGTCCATGGTCGAGTCACGCAAAAGCATACGCCTGTAATTTTATGATATCGCAGCTTCCCACGCTCGTGCGACCGGTTAATTCACATCCTGGTTATTCGCGATACGCAATCTCCATAAGCAAATGACATTAATCCTCTCTCTAGGTGTGCCCGTCTATACTACGATTTCATATTTAATATTTCGTAGAATTAAACTTAACGATGCCGATATTCCGGAAAGTCTAGTAGTTTGGCCTTCGACTCAGTTATTGATGTCCTACAAAACATAACTGGTAGGCGAAATCATTCACCCCAGGGACACTTGCATACATCTACGTGTATATGCGGATTTAGTTGTTTTAGTGGGACGTCAGTACATGGCAATATGATATGCTTTATTTTAAAATACATTTCTTCAACAGGCTCATCAGCTTCGTTGAATTCCCCGATATTGTCATTCATAATAAGTGCATCGACAACAGCGATTAAACGAAATTTCTAAACAACTGTCTCAAACGAATCAATACGTACGTCAAGCTCACACATTTCGCCATCGCCCAACTCGACTTGCACAGCGAGTGTATGCATTTCACGAATTGATTCAAAATTACGATCACGCATGAAACGTGACCGCGTAATAGCACGCTGAGCCTTAGTCACATTAGAAGTACCCGGCATTGTGAACATGACAAATAAATAAAATAAATAATAAATAATAATAAACAAATAAATACAAAAATTGAGCTATCCGGCTCTCAAGAGCCAAAATTGTATGGTGAGGCAACCTGATTAGAGCAGCCGTGCAACTCGACGGCGACGGTGATGTGATCGTCAGGTATTGCCCACAATCAAACTATAATGGCGTATGGTAATTGTCGTGCGATATTAGTGGACTGTAAGGCGGAAAGGTAATAGAAAAGGAAAATATATTATGACAGTATAAGTTACGATTTATTGTAATGGCCGGTAAAAAATAATTGTATGCACTAAAAACTAGTGTTATACTAGTATTATTATTTTTTTTTTTATAGTAAATATATGCGCTTGTTCACAATACGAACGGCAAAAATAAATATGTAGGAATAAAATAGCAATATAAAAAAATAATAATTCAAACTTCGCGAATAAATAAATACGGTAGGTAGGTAAACAACAAAATATATAGTACGTGTGTACGACCTGATAGCGGCAAGACTGATGGCGGCGGGACTGATAGTGGTGGGTGTGATAGCAGCTCGTGTTGACAACCGATGATGCTACAGTTGTCCCGGTACGATGATAGTGAGCAGCCTGCTGAAGGTGGTTGATCAGCTGCGACGACACACCACAACATCGACTTGGACCAAAAAAACAGCCGACGGACGGCCAGACTCAATACGTGAGGAACGCGGCGGATCACACTGCGCACACAGCGGGTGGGCGATAATGATAAATACTACGGTTTTGGCACGGGCGGCCACAACACGCGATTTGTGTGTGTAACGAGGGGCACGACACGGAACAATAAAACAGCACAGACGGCTCAACCAAGAGCTCAAACAGAAAGCCAAGATGGCGTTATTAACGACGACGGCACGCTGGGTCGCAGTAGTCACATAAACTCTGGCCTACGGAAAGAAAGGTATTGGCAACTTGCCAATTTGTTCAATAGACTCTTTTGTACTATTTATTAAATCCACTGCCACGGATTGTATCACATTGGAATTTTGTAGTCCTAGTGAGGCACAATGAACTGTTTGTAAAAGAGCTTCCATGGAGAGTGARGWTAATATGAAGGGTAAAGTAGACATTTCATTTGAAATGCCAATAGCTCTTGCAGTTTGATCACCTTCATTACTAAGAACTGAAAGAACTTCTAATAATTCAGAAAAACGCATATTAATTTTTTTAATTGATGTGTACCAATATGCCCATCTTGTTTCTATCAATCTTTCTAAATGGATGA